TCGGGCCGTCTGGTGCCGGCAGCAAAGTTAGCTGTAGTGCTGGAGGAGCCTGAGCAGAGTTGTCGGAGACAGACACTTTCAGTGAAGATAGTTATTTATTTTACAGGTTTGTATGGATTGTAAATGGATTCTTTAAACGTGGTAAATCTTTAGTACAGACTTTCTCCTTCTGGAAATATCTCTAGAAATGCAGCAAATTACATGTAACAGCTCAGAGATCTGGTACAGCTCCTTTGAGGGTGGGTGGTCAAAGGATGTTTTACTTCTCCAACTATTTGCCATAACAAATTAACAGTAAAGCAAAGGTGAATATTTTTCAATCTCCGACTTTTAATTCACTATAAAAATAGGAACATGTACCGTACTAACAGCCAACTGCAAGGGATGAAAAATTACAAAGTAGCGTAAAAAAAATCAGTGCTCACTTCTGTGCCTCGACTTTTTGCACATTTCCCTTCCGTTCTTCATGTCAACTCCTGCTCAGCTACAATACTCAGAAAAATAAGTTTCTTCGACCTGGTGGAGCATCTCTCCTGAAGCGGGTGAGCAGGACTTCGCATGAATCTGTCTGTACTCTTCTAGATGCTCCAGTGAATTATTTACTAAGGTGCCACCATTCCATAGAAAATAAAACAGTTCTTTAGCTGCATTGAAAACAACTCTCTAACTTTTACACTCTTTATTTTCTAACAGCTTCACCTTTGGGGTCCAAACAAAAGCTACATAGTAGGTAATACAAGAAGAGGAAATACTCGAGTTTTGTGTAATTAACTTTCATACAGTTTACACAGTTATATTGTGTAAATCACTTTGTGCAAAATCTCCTGGTATAGCAGTCCAGCTTCAGGGGCATATGCTCAGGGCCTGCAGTCTTTTCCAAACCTCAGCTGGAGGGTTTCCCACTGCTTCCAGGGGTTTTTTAAACATACTCTTCTTCCTCTTCCTCTTCTTCTTCCTCTTCTTCTTCTTCCATACTCTGCTCCTCATCTACAGGAGTCTCAGTTCTCTCTGTGGCTAAACTTGTCCTGAAAAATGCAGCTATTGCCTGTCTGTGTTTGGTTACAGCCATGAGGAGAGCAATCAGAACGAGGGCAGCGGGAACTGTGATCCCAATTACCATCCTAAACACTTTATTTTGGACAACCTCCACCATGGACATCAGGAGAGGCGGTGGAGGGCCGCTGTCCACGCTGCCTCCCAGGCCGCGGAACTGGCAGTCTGGAGGAGCCCAGCCAGCTTCACAGTGGCAGTGTGCGAGGTTGTTGCAAACCCCTTTCCCCCCACACAAAACCTTCCCATCGCACTTCGTCCCGACCGTGGCGTCTGTGCACGTCTTGTTAATACAAATCTTTTTTGGTCCACATCTGGTGCCATCAAGCCCTTCTCCGATATCGGCTGTATCGATGCTGGCACGGTAGGCTGTGCCCCAGCACAGATCCTGGGGCCCCGGTATCTGAATGATGGTTTCCTCCAGAACAGGTATCCTCTTCACATTGACACACTGCAGCCTTCCACACAGAGCGTTTTGTGGTTTACATCTCACAAAAGCAGCTTTGGTCCCATCGCCGCCACAGTTGCCAAATCGATCCCCTTTCATGTTCTGCTTTTTGAAGCAACTTTCCGGAGCGCCCCGAGCATCCTTCCCAAAGACTTTTCGGCACAGGTTGTCATAGGTCGCGCATTTCCCGCGGTAGCAGTAGCCGTCGTTGCTGCACGGCGTCCCGTCGTGCACGTGCAAATCTTCCGGGCACCACTCGGAAGTCCCGTTGCAATATTCAGGCAAGTCGCACTCGTCTGCCTCCGACCTGCACTTGTGTCCTGCAGCACGGAAGTGGCATTTCTGGCAGCATTGCCCAACGGAGCAGACGGCCCCCGGCTTCAGCCTGCAGTTTTGGTGACAGCAGGGATTGCCTCGGCAGTCCTGCGGCCTCCCACAGTCGCACTGCTCTCCCTCGTCGATCACCTTGTTGCCACAATGCTTAAAGTAGAAGAGTCTGTGGGGCTCTGGGATGTTGCACAAGCAGTCGCCATCCCCTCTGCTGATCAAGTCTAAATAGCTCTGCAGGCTGCAGTTGCTGAAAGCCTTGGAGCCATGGAGCGAGCCTCCCGTCATGTAGCACTTGGTGGCTTCTCCGCACACACACTCCTCTTTGTCGTGCTCCATCCCCAGGTTGTGACCCAGCTCGTGAGTGAAAATTATTGAAAAGGTTATGAAATCTCTCCGTATGTGTGATACAACGCCTGACTGATAACCAGGGTGGCAGATGCTACCTACGTATGCCAGCCCAACGACTAGTCCGAAGTCCCTGTACGTAAATAAATGTGCAATGTCGTATTCCATCCTCTGAGAAAGATCTCTATTTCCCCAGTTGTTAAAATTTTTAAGAACTTCTTCTATATCCTGGCTGTACCTGATGAAGTTGCTGCGTGTCCAGATCTCCAGCCCGATCAGGCAGATGCGAATCTTCAGAGGATAGTAGTATGTTTCGGATAAATTGATCGTATCTGTAACCAGAAGTATGACGGCGGTCTCATTGCTCCCTTGGAAGGAAAACAGATAGTGGTCCACCACGACAAATATCTCAACGTACTTGGTGTACTTCAGTCTATGAGACAAGCCGTGCTTTCCTGAGGCTGTTTTAGCTCCCATCCCAGCCGTCTGCTTTTGGATCACCTCATCCGTCAATCCACACATCAAGGGCTTGTTCTGGGTCTTCTCTCGGCGATAGAGAAGGTGCTGGAAGGTGAGGGACCCCGGCACAGGTTCAATGCCATAGCTCAGGTTCCCGATTTCCAGTTGTCCCCTCAGACCCGAGCAGGCGCTCAGCGTGGCGAGGGAGCCGGGGCTGCCCTCCACGTAGCCCAGGTAGAAGCACTCCTCAGGGACGTGGGGCTGCTCCATCACTCTTGTCCCTCTGGGGCTGTATGTGATGACCGGCAGGTTTTTCACCAGAAGTCCTCTCTTCTGCGTGAGGTGGATGACACGGTTTTCACCCTCCACTCTGAGGAGGTAGGACACTTCTCCCCTCGTGCCTTTTCCTGCCCCGGGGGCCAGTTTCCTCGGCTGGACTATCTCGTGGACAGCATAGCCTGGCGGTGGACGATGGCTGCCCGCCCCAGGGAGGAGAGGTGCCACCAACGCTGCCCAGACTGCCAGCCTGAGGAGCAGGGCTT